ATGCCAACTTCTGTGCTATGAGAAGTTTGAAGTTCAACCCAAAAACACAGGGCTTGGCACGGTCAAAAGCTCATTACAACTTCTCATTAGTTGTGTCTTTTGGGGCAAACTATGGCATTCCTGAGTGTGACTCAGTGTCACCAGTCACAGCTGAAGGCTCCTGATTAATCTGGACCGAGCTGGAGGGAAGGCCACAGTAAGATCCAAGCAAATGAAGCAACACATCCTACAAGAAGGAAGTAAAAACTAACAGATATTTCCTGAAAAGCCATCTTAATATTAACCATAATAACACCTAACACTTATTTTAGCCCTTCTTATATCCAGGTACTGTATTTGTCCTTGACATTCATGGAAACATTCATTTCTTTTAATGACTCTGTGAGACAGGTACTATTATTACCTCTATTTTAAAATTAGGAAATTGAGTCATGGAGATGTTAAGTAACTTGTTAAGCTGGCCAGGAACAGGGCTGATATTAGAACAGTTAAGAATGTCTGATTTAAGGAGTTATGAAAGGTTCCTTTAGATTAAGAATCCAAATAAAGTATTGAGGCTAGTTAATAGTGACGTACCAGTGTCAGTTTGGTATGGTATATTCTTCAGAAGTGTAAGATGTTAACAACGGGGAAAACTGGATAAGGGGTATACAGGGATACTCTGAACTACCTTAACAACTTTTTTGTAAAACATGTAAGTGAGAGAATGTTAAAGTCTCCATTAGTGCTAAATTAGCTTCAGAGACTTGTGCTAGAGTTTTAAAGGCAAACTGGAAACTATTTCCTGGAACAACGCCTCACAGCGTGCCTTTTGATACTTGGATTATATTTCTTAAATTCTGAAGAAATCTTTGCTTTTTCCCCCCTTCTGTGCATTTTTGGTGCTGAGCTGTTTCCGGTTTTCCCACACTCCTGCCTGTCAGAGAGAAGAAACCACAAAAATGCAGCAAAGCAAAGTTTGTCCAAAGAGCTGCAATTCCATCTTCAGAGGCTGTGAGGTTCTATTGCCAGCAGCGAGTTAAGGGTGGCGAATGTCCACCCTGCTGCCTCTGAAGGAGCCCACATCCCCAGCAGGCCAGTGGGCACCAGGCCAACCAAGGCACATCTCAGGTGTTATGGACTGAGCTGTGTTTCCCTTCCCCCCAAGTATGTTTGTTAAATCCTAACCCCTATACCTGTGGATGGAATCCCATTTGGGAATAAGGTTTTCTTTATTATGCTAATAAGGCTGTATCAGTGGAGGGTGTGTTTGAAGCCAATCATGTTGAGATATAAAAGAAGCAGATTTAGGCACAGAAACAAAGTAGCATGGAGGGGGTAAGGTAAATGCCAGGCTGCATGGAGAGAGCCAAGAACGAGCAACAGAAGCTGAAAGGAGAAAGGCTCTTTCCTCAGAGCTGACAGACAGAAAGCTTTTCCTAAACTGTAAGAAAGTAAATTTCTGTTCATTAAAACTACTACCCACTTAGGGTATTTCTGCTCCAGCAGCAGCAGGTAACTAAGTCACCAGGGGACTAGCAACAATGGTGGACCACAAACAAGGGTCACTCTTCCTCACTAACTGTGGGCTTTTCAAACCTGGGAAGGACAGTGTGGTTCCAGAAGCATGTGAGGGCACTAGGGCTTGTTGAGTTCTTATGCGTGTCAGGCCTTGCTCTATGCACTTGACATATATTAACTCTGTAGTGTAGTGCCGAAAGCACTTGACTGCTAACCAGAAGTCTGGCGGTTCAAACCCACCAGCCACTCCTTGGAAGGAAGGCTGAGCAATCTACTTCCGTGGTGATACTGCCTCGGAAATCCAAGTGGGGGTTGCTATGAGTTGGGTGTGACTCCACAGCACATAACAACATTGCTGAACAACTGTCCTATGAAATAGATACTATTGTTGCCCCTATTTTACCCAACTAGAAAACCGAAGCAGAGAGGTTAAAATAGCTTGCCAAAAGTCTCAAGTCAGTAAGCGTGGAGCTGGGATGTGAAAGCACATGGCCTGGCTCCCGGGGCCGCTCCCTGCAGGACTAGATCTTCTCTGACGGTGAGGGACACATAGCTTCTTTTCTACTTTGCTATCGCTATTGGTCTTCAACCACAAACTGTAGCCTTCCTGCTGCCCTTCCCTATATGCCAGCTCTGTCAACAGCTCTCATTAGATCTCATAAAGCCACTGTAATGCCAACTATCCCTAGAATAGCTGTTTGGCACTTAGTAGGCAACAGATAATGGCAACAATATAATTAAAACAGCTACAAGGGATTGTTTTCAATCTAAATCCAGAATTTGATTCACTTTCTAAGAGGGAGTAAAAACAGTAACTGCATTTTCTGCACCAGACCATTCTTTCTTATGACTAAAATGGATCTTGGGAAGAGCAAATGAATGAGGAGCCTTAATGAGAGCAGGAGGGATACACAAATTCCCCCGAATTGCCTATACTGCTGGGAATTTCAGCCTCTCCCAGATATCGCTGAAAAGTTCCCCAATTTTAAAATGAAGAAGGGCTGCCAGAACCAGCACCCTTGACCAATCCATTTCTAGTTCACTAACTAAAAGGTGCCGTCAAGTTGGATCCAACTCATAGCAACCTCTCCTTGGGTTTCCCAGGTAGTATCACTAAGGAAGTAGATTGTCCAGCCTTCCTTCCAACTAAAACTTGCCTAGAGGTAGAATGAAGGATGTGGCCTACAAAGATCTGATGCAGGCAGGGAAATATCTTTTTTGATGCAGGAAAATGTAGACAACCAAAGGTATTAGAAACATTGTTGCTACATAAAACCTGTTGATTAAAGTCAAGGAAGTTTTAATCCTTCCAATGCCATCTCACTTTTCCATCTGAAAGCTAAATAAACAAACAATATGAATCTTAAATGCAACTGAAAAGAACTAAAGCTCTGGCTCTGCAGAAGGATCAAAAGAAAGTACAGGTTAGGAGCCAGTTTTCATTTTCTTTTTTCCAAGGCCACAGTCAGGATTGTTATTGGGTATACTGTCTGGGACTGTAGCACCTGTCAGAGGCCCAAAGAGCTGGTTGATAATGACCCTGAACCTTAAGAAACCTTTATCACAATCCCTGGGTAGTCTAAAACCACTTGAAATGGAAAAGCCAATCTTCAAATTTACAAAGAACTGCAAGGCATCTTGAATAGCCATAAAAATCTTGGAAAAGAACAAAACAAGAGGGCTCACACTTCCCAACTTAAAACATACTAGAAAGCTACAGAACTAAAGCAATGTGGTAATGGCATATGGTTAGACATATAGGCCAATGGAATAGAATTAAAGAGTCCACAAATCACCTCATTCACCTACTGTCAATGGATTTTCAGTAAGGGTGTTAAGTCTATTCAATGGGGAAAGAGTAGTCTCTTCAACAAATGGTTCTGGACAATAAGATCTGTCATCGGTCCTAGCTCCCTACACTATCAGATCTCCACATACAAAATAATGAATGAAGTTGGACCAATACCTCATATCATATACCAAAAATTAATTCAAAGTGAATCAAAGACCTAAATATAACACTAAAATCAAAAAACTCTTAGAATACACTGGGGTAAAGCTTCAAGTTCTTGTTTTTAACAATGGGTTCTTAGATAAGACACCAAAAAAAAAAAAAAAAAAAAAAGTACAAGCAATAAAAGACAAAATAGATACACTGTATTTCACCAAAATTAAAAACTTCTGTGCATCAAAGGACTTTATCAAGAAAGTTACAGTATAGTAAATTACCTGGTATGGCTTTTCTAGCCATAAGTCTTTGTAAAATCTGTGGTGGAATTTGCTGTGAACAACTGAGGAGCTCTGATTGTAAAAGTTATCCACCTGGGGTATTTCTGTTGGGCGCAACACAAAGCAATGTTCTGGGAGGTTCCTGCTCTCTCTCAGGTGCTTAGAATTCTGATGTTATGATTGGTTAGTTTGGCCACTCTGCCAGGCTCAAAAGGAGGCCTCCTAGAGGCAGAAGAAGTCTCTCTCTGACTGCTGGTTGAGGAAGACATGCTGCTGAAATAGACACACACTGCTGGGAAAGAGACTGTGAGAGACTGTTAGGAGAGAGACTATGGGCTGAGAGAGAGACTGAGCGTTCTTCCTGAACTTGAATTGTAGCCTGGTGCTTCCCTAATAAACCCTGTAATCTGTGTGTTCTGTGTGGCCACTGCAGCGAATTATTGAACCCAGGAGAGAGGTGGTGGGTGCTTTGGGAGGAGTGGTTGGTAAGCAACATGTGGTATTATATGTACAATGGAATATTATGCAGCCACAATCAGAAATGAAGTTTTGATACATGCTATGACATGAGTGAACCTTGAAAAATTTATGCTATGGGAAAAAAAGGACCCCTTCTTAGTGACATACTGGTTAAAAGCTTGACTGCTAACTGAAAGGTCAGCAGTTTGAACCAACCGACACAAAAAGGACAACCATTGTATGATTCCACTGATTCGCTATCTAGAATATGCAAATGCAGAGACAGCCGCTGAGGTCAGGGAAGAAGGAAGAGCCATCCTTCCAGGTATGCCCCATTTCTGTCTGGGTGAGGAAAATCCTCTGGAAACAGACAGTGGTGACAGTTGCACAACATGGTAAAAATGTTGTTGTTGTTTGCCGTCGAGTCGGCCCTGACTCATAGTGACCCCTCCTTGGGTTTCCGAGGCAGTATCACTACGGAAGTAGGATTGCCCAAAATACTTAATGTTATTCAATTGTCCACTTAAAATATGGTTAAAACGGTTACACAGATTTCACCACAATAAAATTGGAAAAAAAAAGATAGAGCAGGGCCTATGCCTTGCCCAGGGTACAGTCCAGTGTTTCACTAGCCCCCTAGGTGATTCTAATTTGTAGCTAGTGTTAAGAACGGTCCTTTATTCTCAATCAAGTATTCTTGTTTTCAATACTTCAATACAAGCTATGTTGAAGGCTCAGTAAGAGAAGAGTGCTATTAGCATACAATTTATATAAATCAGAAGAAATGGAAACAATGAATGTAGAAAACTTACTTGGAAGACCTCTGAGATGCTGACTTTCTGAGCACTTGTTTGTGACTGGATGGGGGCTTGGGGACCAGGGAGGAGGATGAACTTGGAGGTGGCACCACTTTTTGTGACAGAGTGATTGGCTTCTGGCCACTGGCTGTGGCACTTGACATTCTGCCGCCTGCAGCATTATTCCCTGTCCATGAATTGGAATTAGGTAGTGTCTGGCTGCTAACGATGGCCTACAAGAGAAAGAAAAAAAACGTGATTGATAGAGATCTCCTTTACAACTCATTTGCTGTATGGAAATAAGTAGTTTGTAACTGAAATGAGGTAAAAAGAAAAGGGAAACTGTTAAAATAATTTTGTTAGGAACAACTTCCTTCTATCATGATGCTAGTGCAGGTCTAGATTCAGAGAAGGAAACTCTCTTGAAGCAGAAAGCTGAGACAGTTTTGTTGCAAGTCTACTGAGCCAGGAATCAGGGCATCTGGAGACCAAGGTTGTTCCACCTGAGAGAATTAAAGAAGGATTTGGTCTCTTTTGGTCTCAGTTGCCCTCAATTAAACTGACCAACTATTTATTGTATGTCTCCTGGAAATAAAGTATTAGAAACATAGCAGAGAACAAAACTGACTTGAAAGTTGACTCAATTTCTGCCCACCCACAAAACTCTGAAGTCCTCTAGACGTTTTTCACATTTGACGAAAGGGAAAGAAAGCCAGTGTGGCTTCTGGGACAGTGGGCAAAGGGAGGGAGTGGAGAGGGATGAGGCTGGAACAAAAAGCAGACCACGTGTAGCCTTGGGGGCCTCGTGAATATTTTCAGAATTCTGTTGTAGCAATACTTTGTTGACCTGAAAATTAATATGAAATTTTACATTTGAAAACACTTCCGAAGAAAAATTACTATGTGAATACAAGATCAACATATGGGTACTTTTGCTCGGAGGGAAATCCTTCTAATAAAAGTCACTGTGTAAACATTATAAACACCAATATATATCTACAAAAAAAACCCCAAACCAAACTCACTGCCATTGAGTCAATTCCAACTCATAGCGACCCTCTTTGGGTTTCCTAAACTGTAAATCTTTACGGAAGTAGATTGCTCAATCTTCCTTCTGTGGAGTGGCTGGTGGGTTTGAGCCACCAACCTTCTGGTTAGCAGTCAGATGCCTTAGGCATTCACTATGCCACTAGAGCTCCATACATATACCTATAAAAAACCCACTAAACTCACTGCTATCGAGTTGGTTCCAATTCATAGTGACCTCTCATTGGGTTTCCCGGCGGTATCTCTACAGAAGTAGATTGCCCAGTCTTCCGTCTGAGGAGTGGCTGGTAGGTTTGAACAGCCAGCCTTCTATAGCAGTCAAATGCCTTAGGCACTATACCACCAGAACTATAGTCACTGTGTAAATATGTATCTCTTTAAGTAGTTCCTCAAAAAATTCTGAAAATGAACTTATCATACACGGTTTTTTATATCACAAATTGTTACTGATCTTTTAATACTATTAACACCATTGCCAATATGCATACATTATAAAAGCTTTACATTTGAAATAATATTGAGAGGAAAAATGATATAATTGACAAAATACATAACACTTATTATTAAAGGGATTCTGGCAATTGATTCCTACCAGTAAATAACACATTTAAACAGACAAGGGAGAAAAATCATTTCCTTATGGGAAGGCCCAAAAGTCCAAAGGAACAAACTAAGATGCTCTCAGAAGACATTCACTTCTTAGGTAGACATCAGTAACATTAATGTTGACCTTTATGAGTTTTAACTTTCAGGATGTAAAAGATGAACTGGGTAGCATTGTTGTTGTTGTTGCGTTAGATGGTGTCCAGTCGGCTCCGACTCATAGAGACCCTATGTACAACAGAAAGAAATATTGCCTGGTCTTGTGCCAGCCCCACAATCCTTACAATATTTGAGCCTATCAATATTTGAGCCACTGTGTAGATCCACCTCGTTGAAGGCCTTCCCCTCTTTCGCTGACCCTCCACTTTACCAAGCATG